AGAGGGAGGGGGGGAAAAAAAAAAAAAAGGATGACAACTCTCAAATGACAATTTATGGAGATTTCCAATCTATACTCAAGAGAAGCCTTTGACTAGAATAGTACATGCATTTATAGATCAACACTGAGATGCACTGACACCACTGTGAAGGAGAGGAAGGGAGAGAGAAAGATTATTATACTGAGAGGCAAACAATGATATGCCTTATCTTGCCCCAAATCTTTAAGTACAATTTTTCCTCCCTGCTATTCTACAGTGTGTGCGTCACATACACTGACATCTATGCTATTGTTAGGGCTACTGGTAAAAAAAACAAAACAAAACAAAAAACCTCCATCTTCTTGCTTTCTAAATGGAAAGACTTCCTGGTTTTGGTCCCTGTTTCAGTAAGATGCAGCAGTTTCAGTGATGTCAAAGGAGAAGTGGTCTGTTGCTTAAAAAAATTATGCCTGATGAAACAGAGCACCCAAAGCCTTATGTACAGACCCTGCATATAACATCCTTTGGTGGGAAATAATATCAGTGAGATTAAATCAGAAGGGGAAATAATATTAACTTTCACACAGAAGAGTGTGATATGTCCATTTGGACTCTTAACATCCAGACTCAAACTTTCTTTGAGAAAGAGCTTAAATTCATCTACAAGTTGTCCGACTAAGTTAACGAATCATCGGGCAAGATCTAGATTTGTGTTACAGAGAAGGTTAGACTAGATCACAATCATTCTTTCTGGCCTCAGAAATGTATAAAAAGGACGGAAATATATTTAGGACTATGGTCCATTAGGTAATGGTCACACAGTTTTATTTTCCTATACAACAAAACCCAGAGAAAACAGACATATGGGCACAGTTGCATCCTCAATAATGATGGTTACCAAATAAGCCCAAACAAAAAAAGGACTGCTATTATTAATTCTAAAACATAGGTAAGCACCAGTAAAGTATTCAAAGATTATTTAAGGAGGGATACTACTATATTCTCAGACAAAACAGACAAAGATCTGAAACCGTATGAACATGACAAATCGCTTTCTATGCAATTCTGGAATTCATAACTATAAAACAATCCTAGGAGTAGAATCTTCAAAGGCATCTCTTGATATTAAAACTTAAATCTTTATAGTTATTTCTGTATTATTACCACTAATTTATTTTTTTAATTACATTTAAACTAGTAATAATCTTTTTGCCACATTTAATCTCATGGATAGTCCCCTAGATGCTCTCAAATTTAGTCCTCAGTAGTTGAAACTCTTAAACTATTTTAATTCCCAAATTTATAATAGTCAAATATTCAGGATAAGATGCACTTTCATGTTTTTCTCCCAGTGATATTACACCATACATTAAACATCACATACTAAACTGAGGTATCTGAAAACTAGATTCCAGAGGTAGATCCTCCACATTTTTATATTAGCTTTTCAAATAAAGGTATGGAAGAATACAGGAAGTAGCCTGACTAGGGTAGATAAAGATTTAAACTTTAATCTTTTGTCATCTTTTATCATATGGCAATTTGAAAGGCAGTAGTATTTGATGTCCAGGTTTGTCATGACAATATAATGTCCATTCACATAGAATAAAAGTTATTTATCTGGAGAAGGCTCTTACAGACAGCAACTCACTGATGTTCCGTGGTTGCAGGTCTTCTCCACAGTCACATATTGGCAGGGATCTCCAGAATTCACACCGAACTGCACAGCACAGCAACTTCTTTAATCTTGGAGGTTTCCTGCAATGCCACCGATTGGTGGAGGGACCCTATTACTTGATGTTTGTGCCTTATGGCCAGTAGGTGAAAACTGCAGCTTATTTAAAATTGTGGTTTTCTCCTTCTGGCCATCAGGGGTGGGCAGTTAGTGACCAGACCCTCTACCAATCAGTGGCAGGGCAGGCATGTGGGGGAAACTCCAAGATTAAAGATGCCACCATGCTGTGCACTTCTTGCGCAAATTGCAGAGATCCCTACATATTGAACTATCCTTCATCTTCCATTTACGTATCAGTGTAGTTAACTGCAGCACCAGTGTTAGGTTCTGTCATTGTTCCCTGACTGCTCAGCAATACTGAATGAAGTAGGTTCCCTTCCAATTTTTCTGATAATCCTCAAAACTTTTCCATCATATCCAAAAGGAAAAGCAACATTTTGAGTATACCTTCACTGCACAAGTTAGTCAAGTCAGTTTCAGCATGAACACGTGTCCCTATAGCAAAGCCCTACCCACATTTTGGTATCTTCACTGTTTTGCCATTCTCCCATGTATGTTCCATGGTGTGTCTATGAAATTAAATCTATTTGTGCTGAAATGCTATAGGATTTTTACCTGGTGAACCATGTCATCTATAAGAGAACTTACCTATCCTTTGATAATCATAGGAAGCAATAAAGTTTTTACCTAGATTTACATTGCCAAGTATTCAGGTCATAGCCCCACTAGCAGCACAGCTGAGGGTATAAACCAGGGCTAGGCAATTATTTTGAGCGGAGGGCCACTTACCCAGTTTTGGCAGGCTGTTGAGGGCTGCATGGGTAGCCCCGCCCCTTGACAGGAGCCCCACCCCCTGGTCACCAACTTGGAACCAATGTCCCAATGTCTTGGGACCAATGTCCCAGGACCAGCACCAGTGGGGCTCAAAGCAGGGTACAGGCTGGCAGGGGTCTGTGGAGCCGGGCTGGGCTGCACCAGCAGGGAGAGGGGTCAGCTGGCCCAGCTCCATAGAGCCCCTGCCAGCTGGGACCCTGTGCTCCTGCCACCCTGCTCTGGGCCCTGCCGGCACTGGCCCTGGGACACTGGTGCAAGCCCTATGCTCCCACACTCACTCACTCCCAGCATCCCCCGGCCCCACAGTACAGGTGGGGGGCAGTGCGCAGCCCTGACCCTGTGCTTGCCGGCAGGGAAGGAGCTGGTGCAGAGCGCAGGGAAAAGTGGCCCCTCGCCTGCCCTGCGGCCAGCACTCCCTGCTGCAGCCACTCGCAACCCAAGCGGAGCTGACCTGAGTGGGCACAGGCAGCCTCATGCGGGCTGTGAGCAGCTGCAGGGCAGGGCATGGGGCCGGCGAGGGGCCACTTTTCCACCCGCACTTAGCACCAGCTTGTAACCCAGCCCCACTGCCAGCCTGGGCCCTGCACTGGCTCTGGGCTCGCCTGTTGGGGCTGCACGCAGAGGCAGCAGCTGCTTCGTGTGGAGGAAAGCGGCCTTTCCACTTGCCACACTGGGCAGCATTTGCTGCTGCTGCTACCTGCCCAGAGCTCGCATGCTGGGTAGCCCAGTGGCGGTGGTGGCAAACACTGCCTGGTGCAGTAAGCAGGGGGGCCACAGCTGCTGCTGCCATGGAGCAGCCCTGATGGGTGAGCCTGGAGCTGATGCGGAGCCCAGGCTGGCAGCAGGGGCAGGTTACCAGCTGGTGCTGAGCACGGGAAAAGTGGCCCCTCAACTGCCCCGTGGGCAGGACCCCACGATGCAGCCGCTTATAGCCTGCATGGGGCTGCCTGTGCCTGCTCAGGACAGCCGTGCATGGGCTGTGAGCAGTTGCAGCAGGGAGCACCAGCCACGGGGCAGGGGAAGGGCTGCTTTCCTCCGTGCTGGGAAGGAGCAGGGAAGGAGACTGTGGAAAAAGCTGAGCATGGGGAAAAGCAGCCCCTCCGTTTCATGGCCAGCGCTGCCTGCTGCAGCCACTTACAGCCCCCGTGGGGCTGCCTGTGCCTGTTCAAGGCAGCCCCATGTGGGCTGCGAGTGGCTGTAGCATAGAGCACCGGGCATGGGGTGGGCAAGGGGCCGCTTTTCCCCACACACAGCTTTTCCCCAGGCCACTTTTCCATGGGCTCCCTCCCTGCCCGGGGTCCTCCCCTGCCCTCCCCCACTTATCTGAGGTTCTGGCATGGTTCCAGGCCAGAAGCCCCTGGTGGGGCTTCAGGCTGGGGGAGGGCGGGGCCGGCCCTGCTGTTATGGAAACCTGCCAGGGCTTCCCCTGGCTCCTACTGCCCCTGACTCCTGTCATTTTTGACAAGGACCAAGAGCAGATAAATATTAATTTTCTAAATTTTTTTAGGGGCCCTGCGGGCCAAATAAAATGGCCTCGCAGGCCGGATCTGGCCCATGGGCCATATTTTGCCCACTCCTGGTATAAGCTCTCTGTCCAGCAATGGCAGCTTAACATTTGGCATAAAACCCTGGAAGAAGCATGAGTTATCTATGTACAAACTACCCTAACATCACTATCTGCAAAAATAACGCATTATGTGTTGCTAGATACACACATATTAATCATTTAGTTTGAAGTACATAGAGGTTATTTCAGGATATGTCTACACTGCAGCCCAAAAAGCAAGGCAAATTAGTGCATGCTGAGCTCAAGCTGCTGCGGCTACATTGTTTAGCATACGCAAATGAACTCACGTAACATTATTTCTAATCACAGCAGTGCAGACCCAGACCATCAGACTCCATTCCAATCTCAAGCAGGTTTCTCTTTTTTCTATTTATCCTTTGCCAGTTTCAAGAGAATGTTATTTTACTGCAGTTGGATTATCCAACAACATCTGTGGAAAATTTCCCCTAAATAACTTGTTGCCATACAACAACCAGGTATGACTAATTTCAAAACATCCTAGTAGAAACTAAATATGGTTGTGCATCATGCTATGACCTTTTTCTTTATCCAGCTCTCAAATGTAATCCTCAGGACTGCATCTGAAATGTGCGCAAAGTGGTAATACTTAAAACAGTTTAATACAAATATATATTGTATTTAAAAATTATAAAATTAAACTCTGTTCTGTATTTCATCTCTTGCCTGAGTCACAACAGTTTTCAGTCTCAAGAGTCACAGTAAGAATTTAAACTGACTATAGGACAAAGTCTACCCCACAGATATTAACAAAACTTGTCTAATGACCATTAATATCCCAGCCCTCTTGACCTCCCCATCTGAGATTTCATTCTCATTTTCATCTACAGACCAACATCTACAAGCAATTTAAAGCATTTGGCTTACCTTGTGTCTGCATTTAAGTACAACCCCATAGGCTCCTGGAAACAAAAGCAAAATGTATTATGAATACGTTGTTTCCAATACTATTTTCTTAGATTACATGCAAAATGCCATATTTTCTCACATACAACATGCACCTTTTCCCCCAGGAACGGACTGCTGGAAATTGGAGTGCACATCATGCGAGACATACTGCAAGAGCAGGTTCTGTTGCTAACCAGGTAAAACTGAAAGGAAAATCTGCTGCTGCTCAGTTACTTACTACATGGAAAGATCTTTTTTGAGTAGCAGGATGGAGGAAAAAAAAACCATATGTATTATATTCCAGGGCATGCTGTATGCAAGGAAATAAAGAACTTCACTGAACATTTGTGCCATGTCAAATTATTAAAAAATAAGCCACTTAGAAATATTTTACAATCTATTTACTTTATTTTCTAGAAATATGACTATATATTTGATTTCAAACTGATACCGGTGTCCGTACATTTAATCTCAAGGCAATTCTTGGCTGGATTTGTAATGGTAAAATGGTCACTTTTCCATTTACAATATTATGAAAGCCTTCATAACTAAATGACATTTTAGCTGAATATGTTGTCTCTGATTTAGAAGTAAATTCTGATTTAGAAGTAAATCAGAGACAAAATATTCAGTTTAATTCTGTCTAGTTCTTCAATGCCCAAAATTAGGAACAGACTTGCTATAGAGCCATCAAATTTTAATATGAGCGGATTGTGAAATAAAATTGTTTGCTGCCTTGATAAAATACTTTATTTTAAGAACAAATTACCTTTATATTTCAAGACAAACATAAACAGTTTCCAAAGGCATTTTTTTTCCATTTATTAAAAGAGGAATATTACAAGTAGCCCCTATTCCCATTCAATTCTAATTTATATTAGATAAAGAAATGGCTTACCTTCACCTACCACCCCAAGGATCTCAAATTTATTCATCACATTACCAATGTTAGGAATCTTCATCAAGACAAATTCCTCTTAGGTTGAGAGCCACAGAACATGGCACAAGAGTGAAGTGTCTAAGGGTGCACAGTAGGCAAAGAAAAAAAACCCCCAAACCCGAAGACTTCTGGCAGAAAAAAATCCACGTTGCTCGACTGGGCTTCTCACGTAGTTTTCCTAATCACTAGACATTCAGTAGTTTCCTGTGAAGAAATGAATGCGATAATTAGCATCTTGTTTTACTGCAGCCAAAGAGCACTAATGGAAAAGATTCACAATCTTTGCTCTTAATACCATGCTAGTTTATCCCAAAAGTTATTTCGCTGTCATTCCACATTTTATGATCAACAGAATTCGGAAATACAGGGAAAGGATTTCAACACATTATGACTACATGTTTGCCACATGGCAAAGCTGGTTTTGTAACCCCATGCGCACAACAGAATGTCTTTTAAAATAAAACATTACATAAAAATGTTTCTTTCTGAGAAGAGGAAACAACCCCCCCCCAAAAAAACCTATGACAGTGGGTTGTTTAAAACACACCAACCAATGATTTCTCTTCTTGTGTATGTCTGCAGCTAATTATAAAAATGGTTTGTGATTAGGCAATTAATTCTTCACTCATTCTAATGGTAAGGTTTTCTCCTTATTAAAAATTGTTAACAGTTTTCATGGTTAAACTTATTAGGAACTTATTTTAAAAGGTTAATCCCCAAATAGTTTTTTCATTACTTTTTAAAAAAGTAAGTAACTGAATGAAAAAGATTTTAAAAATTTAATTACTAGATAGTACTGTAGACCATACCCCTTCTAAAGTTTATGCATAAACTATGCAGAAAATTTTTTAAAAGCATCATACCAGAAGAAAGTTGTGGAAAGATACAAACATAAAATAAGACAAAGCTACTTAACGCTAAAATTTGTCAACATTCATAATAAGAGATCATTCTATATATCTATATAAAGATATATAGATATAGAACAGACAGATACACAGACATATACATACATATATAGTCTGTGTATCTGTCTGTTCTATATATATTTCTATATAGATATAAGGGTGTAGTCCGTCTGTCTGTGTATCTGTTCGTCTGTAACAGTCTTGGAGCATTCTGGTCATCTCAGCAGCCAATCACAATGCTCACTGAAACAACCAATTGATCAGAGTGCTCTGCAGCGAACACTGGGGACAGCATGGGATGGGAGAGTGCTGCCATGACAGTGGGGACAGAGTTGGGGGGAGCCCAGGGCTGCTGGCCTTGTCCCCACAGCCCTGCTCCTTGGAGGCGACAGCTGCATAAGATGCCGGCAGAGGAGGAGGGAGGGGATAACACGACATGCTTTCCCCCCACCTCCGGGAAGTGGTGGCAGCATGGTGCGGTGGTGGCATACAAGTTTCCTCCCCCCTACAATGTTCCCCCCTGCTCTTGGGAGGTGCAGGGCCAGACGCAGAGTGGGGGGGGTTGGGGGGAGGGTAGCGTGCAGTCAGATGCAGAGCGGTGGCAGCGCAGGGTGGTGGGTGGCAGCAGCAGCTGCATGCAAGCTTCCCCCTGTCCCCCTGCTCCTGGGAGGCGGCAGTGCAGGGTGATGGGTGGCGGTGCTCCATTCCCACCCAGCCCCCCAGTCATTCTTAATGGACAATTTGTTAGTTGATACATAAAACTGTACCAAGATTTCCTTTGGGCATTTTATGTAGTATTTTTTTTTCACATCAATGCACACATGACTTCTTGCTTTATTCTCGGTTTCTTTCCATGTTTTAAATAGTTTCGCTGGACTAGCAAACATTTCAACACCCTATGAACAGGCTTACTCATGAAGAACAAGACTGTAAGGTGGGAATGAATCCATATCATTAAACCACCATACAGCTAATGGATTAATGACTTAACTCTCCTGAATTCTGCACCCACAGAAACATTAAACTGCCCAGCTATTTTAGTAATGATAGGTATTGAATGCTGCTCTGAACAAGTCAAATATTGAAGACAACAAGTCTGAGCCACAGGATGGAGATGGACTGGAAAAATCATAATACTTGCCTTAGCAAGATATGTTGGAGAGAAATTTGGGTTTTCAAGGGAAAAAAGCCACCTAAAGAAATAAATCAAGTACAACGGAATTCTGAATAGCATCTTGTAAAATAATCACCTATTTGGAGGCCTTCTACCAAAAGCTGGGGTTTTTTTAAATATAGAGTTCATTTGTATTAGTTAAATGAGAACAAGCATTTTCCTTACCTAGGACTCAAAAAAAATGCCATCTTTTTTGACAATGTCTACCTTGCCTTTTCCTACTCTTTCCACAGTTCATTTTCCCCTAGTCCTATATAAAGTGTTTACCTTTCTATAAAACACTAGCCATTGCTTCCAATCTTACTCATGATGATAACAAACCAACTAAAGTAGCCATAGAAATAAAGCACATCGGATTTGTTACCACCTGCACTTCTGCCTCCTGTACAATACGCTGCACTATGTGTATCCATATTAAGGATCTCTATACAAGCAAGGCTTAGAGTCTTCCATGGCAATAACATTAGGAACAACATGATAGCCAGACTGGGGCTACAAGTACCAAGGATGCCAGAAAATGAGAGAAAATAAAATTTTGAGAGAGATGCATTTAATATAAGCAAATTAGACACCCACAAATTTTGCAGTTTTGCAAATAGCTCACTGCAGGCTGACAGAGCTCCAGCCTGCAAAGGGCAGGGAAGCAGAAGAAAGGTGGTCAGGCAAAGGGCACCATTGTACCTGTATGCACATACGCAAGCACACGCCTGCTGGGCAGCCTAGAGAGCAGCTCCTACAGGTAAGTCTGGTTGGGGGGAGGGGGAGCTGAGGCCCCCATAGGGAGAGAGGCAGGGAGTTGGACAGGGCTAGAGCTGCTGCCCAGCTGGGTGGTAATTGGGGCTTGGGGCTTAGGACTGGAATGCGCAGACACAGGGTTGCATAGGGGAGCGGGACGGGGATGTGGGTGACTCATTGCGGGGGAGGGCAGCGACTTGCCTCACCACTGCGTACCCTCCTGAGAGGGGCAGGGAGGTCATGTGCCCCCCAGATGTATGCACAGAGCAAGGGCAGGGGAGGATGTGCACTGCCTGCTGTGGGCTTGGGCTCCCAGGCCTGCTGCCCTCCCTACAGTGGGTGGGACCTGGGGCGGCACGGCAGAGTGGGGTAGGGCAGGGAAGCTTCTTGCTGCTACGAGCCCCATGTCATCCTAGAGAAGTGCTACCTGCAGCAGCAGAGGTGGTGGCACAGAATTGTGCCCCTTGGTGTTGCTGGGCTGACAGGCAGCATATCACTATGGTGGCGTGGGACTCACAGCAACAAGCAGGTTCCCTGCCTGACCCTGCTCTGCCCCTCTACTCTGGGTCCTGCCCACGGGTGCCTCCTCTGGGCAGCAGACAGGGCTCGGGTGCTGGACCTGTGTCCTAGTGAGCAAAGGGGGCAGGGTGAGCTCTGATTTTCCATGATAAAAAACCCAAAATCAAATACCAAAATGTATAGGTATTTATAATTTATTTCACTTTAGTGACAGAGTCACTGGTAGGCTTCCAAATTGATTTAAAACTCTAAATGTACCAATAAAACATTGTTTTCAATTGATACCTATAATTTATAGTGGCGTTTCATTTTAATCACAGATCTGGGGGGTTTTAATCAAAAACCATTCAGTACTTATCAGAGATTTTGTGATTTTTAAAACAGGAAACCAGGATCCCTGGTTATTATGAATGAACAGACCAAAGTACTTCCTTTCTGACATTCATCAGATGAAAAGAGACATGGATCCAGATCGTGGATAGTAGCACAAAGCTAAGCTAATGGGCTTCATAACCTCATGAAGCTATGCTGCCTGAAATTGAAAAGGGAAATTGTTTTAGTGATAGTGGATAGCTAAATACGTTGTTTGCTAGTTAATGTGAAAAATTCTAAAATTAAGTTACTATATTCTGTAATTTAGGGAAGACAGGATCCACCAAGCCACTTGGAACATAGTTTCATAGTTTCTAGGGTTGGAAGGGACCTGAGCAGATCATCTAGTCCAACCCCCTGCCATGGTAGGAAGAGCACTGAGGTCAAACGACCCCAGTAAGGTGGTCATCCAACCTCCTCTTAAAAACCCTCAGGGTGGGAGCCAGCACCACCTCACTTGGAAGCTGGTTCCAGACCCTAGCTGCCCTGACCGTTTGCAGTTCTAGTGCAAATCTGTAAATGTTATCCCAAGAAAAGCAAAATAATTTCTCCATTTCCTGTGTGCTGCCCATAGCACATGGACCAAAAAAATGTCAGGATGTCTAAAGGGTCAGGCTTAGCACAAAACTTCCAGCACTGGTGTTTTGTCAGTCTTCTCTCTTGCTTCTTTTGGTACAGGTCTTATGCAAAACATAGTAGCCTGGGAAGCAAACTGGCCGAGACAACGCTGGAGGTATTCCCTTATCTATCAAAGCTGCCTGAAAACTCAATGGTTCCATCAATTTCTATGGAGATCGTTAAAAATATCCCCAACCCATCAGGAGAGATGCACTCTAATGTCAAACAAAATAAATTAGTCATCAGTTCATACAGTTCACAGTTTAACCTCAGAGTCCTCCTTCTTGAGACGAGCATCAGATTTAGAGCATGCTGAGATCTGTGAATGGAACCAATGATATCATGATTGTTGCAACATTCTGTAATATTCTGAGCTACTCCCAAAGAATCAGCTGTTATTTAAATGGATCTCACAACCACATCCTGGGATTTGCCCATTAGAAGCTCACACAGTCTATACAGCTTTACGGTACTGAATCACCTAGTGTTTGAAATTGGACAGGAGAAAAAAATAAATAAATAAAAGCAGAGTTGCACACTAACTTTAGCTACTTCAGAACCAAAACACTGCTTGCCCATACCCTGTGTAACTACTTGATCAAAGGCATTTACTTTCAGTGATGAAATACTACAACTTAGCCTCAAAATCTGTGAAAACAGAAAGTTCCCACATTATTCCAAGAATACACACTTGTTTCTTAGATATTATGATATCATGTTTTGAGAGATAATTGGGAAGTTCCTGGTTCTGAAGTCAGTGGCAAACTCCTACCAACTTCAATAAGGTAGGAACTTCATCTATTAGGTTTTAACTATCCTCTTGCCATGAAGCAAACAATTCTATTCTCCATTTCTTAGGATTAACCTACAATATTA